GGGTAAGGGAGACAGAACCTGGCCAAATGGCATAAGTGATGCACAGGCAGTGTGAGCTCGATCCAACGACACGACCAAAAAGGTGCTACAGCTACTGTGGCTCTTCCCCCCTGCAGCATCTTCTGATTATTCACACACCTGCTATGTATGTTTTGCAGTTGGATGATGGCCCATGTCTTATGCATCATCCAACGCATTGGGTCTAAATCCTGCCTGCTGCCTAAGGCTAAAAGCACAGGAATAGAAGAAAATTGAAGGCAGAAACCTAGAGGAAACTGGAGTAGCCATATACTAAGCAAGCTGGCTGTACACTGCAAGACAGGTATTTGAAAGCTTGACAAATGCAACCCGGCCTCACCTAAGGGTAAATTTGCCACCTTTGAGCTGGATCTCAATAATTTTTAAATCTAGAGGCATGAGCCTGCAACTTTTTAATGATCAGACTCTTTTCTTGCCAGACATATAACTCATTGATATAAAAAATAGTAACAACGGGAGATGCAATCATTCATAGTTCTTATAATTGGATTTAAAATAAGTGATTGCTTTATGTAAGATCTATTTCTTCTTCCTTTTTCTGTGCTACTTATACATCCTTCCTTATTGTAATGGTTTTAAGTATTAGGCCTTCCTTCCTGGTCGCCAGGAAGGAAGGGAGCATTTATTTCATCCTATTCCTTTACGTAATCCAAACATATAAATAGATGGAGAGAGAAGCCTCTTCCTCTCTTCTCTTCTGGCGAGTTTTGGGAACAGTAAGTCCCTGTCTCGGCCTTACTTATCTGGAGCTGAGGCCTACAGTGACTGCTGTTGTCTACCACGCACAAGGGAAGAGTGCTGGGCCGCGTCCAGCCATCCTGCTTTTCTGAAGGGAAGTGGTGAGATTTTGATAGTTCTTTGTTTTGTTAGTTGTCAGGTTTCTCGATTGTGTATACCTGTTTTGTTTTTGTCCCTTTTTGCCCCATTTTCCCATTTTCCTTTCCCCTTTCCCCTTTCTTGGGAGTTGTACATAATATCCTTACTGTATATAATATATGTAAAAATACACATATGTTTGGTATTATTTGGTATATACTTGGTATTATTCAGTTGGTTTCGGTTTCTTTCAGTTTCTATAATTTTTTTTCCCTTTCCTTTCTTCGCCGAAAAGGGGAGAGAGGGGAGGGGCTTTTGCTGAGCATTGGAGATTTTGGCAGGAAGCCGGCTCACACATCCTTCCATCAACTCCGTAGGATCAGGAAGAGGCTGAAAGTGTTAAAAAAGGGGTGTTAGGGGATCTCTGCATCAGAAAATTCAGATGTGGAACTGAAAAGCATAAAATGAAGGTTTGCTTGAAGAGGTCTGGGATTACAAACTCAGTGAATAAGCTCTGCTGACATGACATTTGTATATGTGTTGGGCAGGAGCTGGGCAACGACATGACTTGGAAGACACCGGTCTGTCAGCATTTAGGGAAGGAAAAAGAAGCACTGTTGGTAGCTCATGTGCACAAGAAAAGCTTCACATTTACGTAACACTCTGTGACAGCTTCTTCAGAAGTCCTTCAGAAGTGACATATATTTTCGTGATGTGGCTGATGCAAGGTGAGTGTCAGGCTTGTGCCAGCATCTGTGGCTAAATTGTTTAGTCCCCTGATCTGAGGACTTCTAACAGGCAAGAAGACTGGACCATCACTTGGGTGTGTTAGAAGGAAGTTACTCATTTTACTTTAGTTCTTTGGGGAAGAAGTGAAGAACTAAAAATGCATATTGTCTCTTCCAGAAGGAAGTAATCATGGGTGTTCAGAAAGCACAGTAAGCTGCAGCAGTGACTCTGCACAACAAACCTGAGGATTCCCACTTCCAGATGAAGTGGGTTGGAGGCTGGGAGGAGGAGCAGGCTGCCCTTCCCTGCCCATGATTCCAGAAGCAAAGACTGTCTGGGGATTGTTACTCTGCTGCTTTGCCTTTCACTGAGTGATAGGCACTGTCTCCTGCTTGTACAGTGCCAGGTTTGCCCTCTGAAGGGGATGGATCACATCTCATTTTAACATCTCATTTTTTTTGACTACTTATACGAATCTGCACAATGAATACTTCAGAGGAAAACCCACTACAGGTAAACAAAGAGCAGAAAAAAACTAAAAATGCCTAAAACCAGGAAAAGAATCCCTTTGAAAACCAGCACTTTTTTTGTTGTTATTTTTGTAAATCCCTTCAATACACTTATCATCCAAATAAAGTAGTAGAAGGCCTTTGATTCCAATTTCTTTGTCTGGTACTTGTATTTAATTTCAAATCTATTTCCTGCTCAGGGAGCTCACATGAACTCTGTTTAAATTGGGAATTTCTTAGAAGGTGTGTGGGGGGGAAAAGTTTTCCCACTAGAGTTAAAATAATGGTAACCCCCAGGGGTGGTGACCCTTGGGATTGAGCCAATGAGCGCTCCTGCAAAATATAAAAATATCAACAATCAGACTGGAAAAGAAGGGTAGTTGTTGTAGTTGTTGGAGGAGAGTGGCCATGTTCTAAACCATGAGGAAGGGGCCCGGAGCCCCGTTGGGGGCTAGGCTCCCCCCCCCCAGCCCCCAGCTGGGGGGCTGCAGGAACCTGGAATGGTGTTAGACTGGGCCAGGCATCTGTAGCTAAGAGCTGGGGGGAGTTTCTCCACTGTGAGCAGCAGCAGAAGCAGCGACAGAAACAGCAGTGAACGGAGGCTATGGCTGAAAGTCAAGAGATAAGAACTGAAGAAGCAGCAAACCAAGCATGCAGCTAAGCAGAGAGACACAGAGTTGTCTGAAGAGAGAGTTTGGGTAAGAACTGAAACAAAGTCCCCAAAACCCTCTGAGACCTCCGAGAGAGAGGAGGGAGATGGACTCCGGCTTGAGAGGAGTCTTAGAGTGCTGCAGCACCGGAGAGTGGAGCTAAGAAGCTCAGAGACGTCGCAGAGCTGGACTGGGACGGTCAGAAGGAATGCGGAGGAGGGCCTCACCCCCCTCCCCGCTGCTGCTGCCAAGCTGGCTAGCAGCCTGAGACAGAGCACAGGAGCTCTGATAGAACTTTTGAGGCAAAGGCTTACAACTGAAAGCTGCCTGAGACGTTCTGACTCAGGGGTGAATCCCCTGAGGAAAGGGACCGTCACGAAGATGCCCCTGCACTTCGTGGTGTGACATGGTGACGCAAGCTTGTCCCTGATATTGCACTCCATGGAAGAGAGGGGGGAGAGGAAATCCCCTTGTGTGTAATGGAAGGAGATCCATCTACAAGAGTCCAGCTGCAGCTGCTGCATGGAAGACAGAAGAGAGGCTGCTGCCCTAAAAGTGGAAAGGATCTTTCTTTCTCCCTTCTGGACTTTAATTGGAGGGAGAAGAGATCTGATCCATTGTAAATACTGATTTATCATGGTAGAGATAGTTGAGATCGTGTGTGTAATGTATATTTATGTGTACAGTCATTTTAATATAATTCCCTTCCTCCCATTTTGAGTCTTGTGTGGTGTCTGGAAAACCCATCTCACACTGGGTTGAGATGTGGGAGGGGGGCTTGGACTCGGGAATTGGATTTTGGGGCTCTCAAACCAGGACAGAAGGTGAAAAGAACCCCTGAGGCTCTACATAGATGCAATATTCACCATAGTTTAAAAGGCATCTGTAATGCCTTGCTCAATGCTCCATGATGCAGTCTGAGAGGTAAAATGTAGATCTCGCTGTCCTGCAGCAGAGAAGGCAAGGTATCCTTAGCCCTCCTTTTGCTCTCCCTTCTCTGGTGGCTGATGGAGACACCAGGGGAACTTGGGCAGCACAAGGAACTAATTTACTGAGCACGGACTGCTCAGACCTGCTTCCAGGAAGAAACGCTGTCAAGAATTATATTAATAGTGTATAACACAAACTGAGGGGTATGTAGCAAATAAAGCAATAAGAAAATTGAAAATTTACATTCGACACTCTCTGCTTTAACAGCATTAGGGAACATGCTGATAGAAAACAAATCATCTAATTCAGTTTATCTAAGATTTACTCAAAAGTCTATGAAGTTGAAATAGAGATTTTATTGCAGTAAAATATGGTTGTTCTATCACAGATACACATCCTTCTAGAGGATGTATATAGCTAAAAGGTGCTGTCCAAACAACAGCAATTAATTAAATCATGACAGATACCATAGGCACTCAAATATTAATAACATATTTTAGCTGGAATTAAGTACCATTTTTTTGTTTTAATAACAAACTACAAAAATCAACACATGCAGAAAGAAGTACTTCAGAAAATTAATTAATTATAAATCCATTTACCTTACAATCCGCAGGATAGGTTGAATTCCAGTACCCAATGTGTTCCTGGGGAACATGCTAAAGTGTACTTCATGCATTGAAACTGCTGAAAATGTAAAGTTCACTAAAAAAGAGAGTCTCAAGACAGAAGAAACATGTGAGTTAGTCTTACTTCCAACCCCTATCCATTGTGTTATGACAGTTTTCTTTACACCCGCAAGAGGCTTTCAAGATCGATGATTGAAACACACTCGTTCAGCTTTAATATACTTAGTTAAATTTTTTTTAATCTTTATAATTTTTAATAGGTGTAATGGCTATAAACACATCTGTTCTTCATTAGCAGTGTGACAGAGAAGACAAGTTTGGAGCCATGACATCCAGAAAATATTTAGATGTAAAAAATTCTGAAACTGTGGCCACAGCTGTCATATGCTTAGCCAACCAATAGGATTGGAAAATAATAGACAAAATTCCATAATTTTCTCCAGCTGCAGCTGTTGCTCAGAGAAAAGGTGTTGCCTATCCATAAAAATTTTACTGCATATATTTCTCTTGTCATTTTTTTGGCTGATGTTATTGCCCAAATTCAACATTATTTTAGAAAAACTCCTAGATGTCCCAAGTACTGGTGGTTGTAAAATCGGTTTCCCCGCTGCCCTTCCATGCAAAGCTCTTCCTTACCTCCTGTAATCATTCTCTAAAAGCTGAAAGATAATTTTCAGACTAGTTTTCAGATGAGACACTACCCAGTGCTCAGCCTTGTCACTGAAGAAAAATAAAGGGTGGCCTGTGAGTTATTGCCAGCTTTATGTGGCCAACTGTTTACTCCCCTTTCGACCATTAGACCTCTGCATCACCAGGCCCACTTTGCGTCTGTACTCATTCCTCAAGAGCGAGCATCTCCAAAATATATCTTGGAGAGGATTTCTGCACTGCGAAGACCCCTGAATAATAATAAATATTCCTGTGTCCTTGTGGCTGAAGAATCAACTCCTGGGTCTTGGCTGGTGACCTGTACATCCTCACAGCAGAGCTGGTGCTCCACAGCTCCACATTTCATGCTATATGATTTACTATGAGATTTTAATCCTCAGACTCTAATCCTTCTTCTTAATTTCAGTTCCATTTTTTCACAGATCCCTGTGGTTTGTAGGCATTCCTGTTTGGTGTTATGGGTGGTTGAGGCATAGGCCAATAATGTAAAATATTCAGTTTGTTCATGAGCTCTTCTTTTAAGTCTTTTTTGTCAAACATCAACAGTCTATATTTTCATTTAATATATGATTTATACTTTATGTTTCTAGAAGACTGGGTTTAGTGGATAGAATGAGGAAGCAACTTCAGCTTTTTTTCTGAAATGTTCACTATAATCCCAGAGATTATGTGGATTTTGCAGAGATGATCGGGATCTGTTTGAGAGGAGGTTGTGTTGATAGGAGACACTAATAACAAGGTAATACAAAAAATGTATGTTCTTTTTAAGTTGCACCTGGGCTAGGAAATGAAAGAATAAAAAGCAGATTAAGGAATCAGGGTATCAAAAATATCAAAGATTGCAAGAATATCTAATTTGTATAGTGGAAAGACAGAGTCAAGTGTAAAACAGTGCAGTTCCAATCAAAATGTGTCAAAAAGAGCAGAACAGACACTGTGGATCATTAACAGCTTGATTAGAGGTACGCAGGTAGCCTGAGTGAAGAACATACAGGAAACAAGAGCAGCAAAAAAGTCTGTGTAACTGCATGGCTGTTTCAACTTGCTGGTGTTAAACCAAGTTCAACAATACACACCTTATGTATCTTTATCCAGTTAGTTGGTTAAGCATACTAAAAGAACTTACTCTCTTCTTCCCTATAGAATTAAAGAAAGTTCAGCCAGAAAGGACATGAAAAGGCATCCAATCCAAGGAGGACAGCTAAACATCAACCATCACTGGCAGATATTTAATCAGGCCATTCAAAACCTCTCTAATAATAGAGGTTCCTCCTCAGGCAATCTGATCCATTGCATGTCTTTTCCTGTTATTAGGAAGCTTTTCCTCATGTTTAACCTAAATCTCTCTTGTAGAATCATTTGTGTTACAAAAGACCTTTAAGATAATAGAGTCCAACCATTAATCCAGCAGCGCTAGGTCCACCACTAAACCATGCCTCCAAGTGCCATATACACACATATGCAACAGTTATCGTGTCTCCTCTCAGTCTTTTCTTCTCTAGACTAAATAATTCTAACTTTTTCAAGGTGTCTGCATCCATCATATTTTCAAAGCTCTGATCCCTTTTGGTATTTGCACTAGAAACTGTTAAATGCAAAGGTATTTTGTGTAAAGATTGGGTAATTTCTCCTGGACTTTGGAAATAAGTGAATGAGAAAAACCATAGGTTTATTAGTTCATAGCCAAGGAGATTTACTCAGGAAAACAGTACATATTTTGTCAGCTCAACCTTACATTTTCTGGTCTGCAGTAAGTATTCAGTCTCATCTGTGACTGCCTATCACAAAAAAGAAAAAAAAAGAAAAGGGGATGCCTGAAAATGTCAAACAGAAAATAAGAGATGCCTGAAAATGTCAAATGTTTTCTCACATGCCAGAAAGTCCAGAGAAAACTGCCTTTTTTTTCCAGAAATAACTAGGTTGTAAATGGTGGTAAACACTTTTCCATTTTTCTATTTTCTCAGTTTTGCTGAGGATCTATACCTGCAAAAGTTTTGTAAATTAATTTCTATCCTGGTTGTGTTGTCATGTCTGGAAAATGGTGATATTGCAGTTTTAAGAGTTTAATTAAATAAGATGCAGATTCATAATATCACAGTACAGCTTCATATATTTTGTGCTTAATTATACCACATCAGCAACTCTACTGATGTGATAATGTGCCTAAAAGGCCTCTGATACAACGGTATTATAATAATAGAGCTCTATCTTCCTCGTTTTCTTTTAAATTTTGTCATTTAATGTGAAGTCAATTAAGAAACAGAAAAATGATGGTCAAATAACATCAAGTGACTAAGAGAACCACAAAATTAAATTCAGAGTTCAAGCTGAAGCACAACAGAAACCAGCCAGTTATGACTGTGTAATATCAGGGTATTTGTCCAGAGGGAAAGCTGAATTGTATTCACGGATGGCAGTGTGTGATGGCCCTGCAAATCCACAGGTGTCCAATGATTCACAGCTCAGAATCTGGATTTCTATCTGCTGGCCCATTTCATGATTATTGAATTACAGTTCAAGTGGCAGTTTTACCTCCAAAGTTATTTACCTATTCGTGTTAGTAGCAAAGTCAGGCTCTATAGTAAATAAACATATCTCAGCCCTCAGTATTTTAACTTCCTTTTTATTTCCATAGTGATGAATTCTTCAGTATCTAGACCAGCTAGAGCATTAGGAAGTGGCACATGACTTAAATGGCTTCACTTTTATAATGCAAGATGTGGTTGAAAAAGTTTAAAAATTATTCATGACAGGCAGATTTCTACCAAACCTAGTTAGAAACAAAATTTTAAAAAGACTTGTTCTTTTGCTCTAAGTTGAAAATCTGCACTGATTTTTTTCCAAAGAATCAGTTTCCACTTAAATTTAATTTCTTTACAATCAATGTACATTTCTCCATGTTGAGTATCACAGAGTTATAGAAACAATGCAATAGTTTACCTGTAAGTGTCCTTAGACACTGCCTCAAGAAGCCCTTGCAGTTTAAGAAGGACCCTCAGACCCACCACTCAGACACATTTCATACACTCCTGTTCTCACATTGCAGAAATACTGTACCTGGAGAGCTG